CCCCAAAACCCCAAAACCCCAAAACCCCAAAACCCCAAAACCCCAAAACCCCTCTAAGCCACTTAAAAACAGAACTTTTAATGATGACTAAATATACTTTTACTTATTAAGATCTGGTCGGTCATTTTAGCTAATTTTGGCTTGAAGGTTCATTCCTGGTCGACTTGGTCTCTTCGGAGACGCTCCTTTTTCATCTCGTATTCGGACGCTTTGTTGTAGAGACGGTCAGCGACGGGGCTGGGTTGTTTGGAGGTGTAGTGTTGGTTGGAGATTAAGCGGGGGTGGTACTGGTGCTCGTTTTGGATTTGATAGGTCTGTGAGGGGTTAGGAGGGGAGTGATACCTTTATTTCGAGATTTTCGTGTTTCTTAGTGATAAATTCATTGTTTCGTGAGATAATGTCGGATTTTATGTTATTATTGAACTTTTTGTTGGTTCTGGGTTTGAAGCTACATCCTTCTTCTTTCATAACTTTTTGTGTTACTTCTTTTAATCTATTCACGCTCTTGTCCCGGTCTTGATACAACTTTTCAAATCTTTGTCCTTGAAAGTTTGGATCTCGATTCTCTATGTATTAAATAATAAGGAAATTACCTGTTGTACGATAATTGAGAGAAGAGAAATGAGACCTTTCCTGAATCTCTCTTTCAGCAGCTTTCTGGCGAGAATTTAGCTTATAAGCATTAATTTCGGCATCTCTGTACAACTTTTCATACACATATGCTGGATCTTTAGAAAGCTCCTCGTCTGAGTAATCTAGACCAAACTCCTTATCTTTTTGCTTGGTTACTCTTTCAGGTTTAAAAGAATATTTGTTCTCTTCTTCTAACTTCTTACTGAGTTCCATCTTAACTCTTTTTCTCTTCAGCTCCTCATGTTCCGAGAAGAGTCGTTTAAACACCTCTCCATCAGAGTTCTGATGTGAGATACTACCAAAAGAGTTGTTAGTGAAGCTATAAGTGGAGCTAAACTGCTTAGAGTTAACATCTTCGATCTTTAAGTTCCGCATATACTTTTGTTTACTCTCTTTTTCTTCATATAGCTTATCGAAGACACTTTTTCCAACGTCAGAGCATGAATTCTTAAGAGAGATCTTACTTCAAGAAGTATTCGGCTGAAAAGTGCACCCTTCTATTTCTTTGGATTCTCTACGGATTTTGTACATCCTTTCACGCTCGTTTTTAGTAGAGATTGCAAGCTTACTGAACCTTTTACGATCTCTTGGTCGAGATGCTGATTTGCTTATTGCAGGCTTAAAAGTTCATTTGTGTTCTTCCTCTTCTTTATTTAAGAATTTCATATTCTCTTTGCTTGGCTTCTTTTATTTTTGCATCTTCATGCAGTCTATCATAGATTGGAGTCTTTCTTTCCTGACTTAGATCTCTTGAGAAGTCCATCTTTTGAGTCATTGAACTTCGGTCAAAAGAGCAATCCTGGAAAGGATTATGGGGTTTAGGAGGATCTCTGGTAAAATCCTCGTCTATCTCCGAAAGAGTCATTTTAGTATCTTTGTTCTTCCTTTTCGCAGATTTACTACGGTTCCTCAAATTTCTAGAAGAAAGTATATCCATAACAGATCTTGATTTAGTCGCTATAGGGGATTCAAGGTTGTCTCCATGTTTATAATTAGGGATATTTTCACTTTCTGGAACAATATGAATATGAGATGAAGTATCATCTCCCCTAATACTCCCAAGATGACTCAATTCCTCTTTCAATATACTATTCTGGCTCGCTATTTCCTCAATCTGGATAGCTTGGGCATTATTCAGCCATTTTCGAAGGAATTGCTTCAAATAAGCAATCTTATTTCTCTGATAAATACCAATGACCTTCTCAATTTTGGTCAAAAATCTACATAAAATAAGCCAAAATATACCTAATTTCCTCTGCTTCTTGCCAATTATTATAAATTCTCTTGCTGATTTCATGCGCTTGGTCGGAACTCAGGTTCTTAAAATAACAAGTGAGTGTAAATATAGCTGTGTCTTCGAAGCTATCAGATTCATCATGACCAGAAATATTCTTTTGATCATAGTATGACTATAAATGCAGTATAAGAAGGGAAGGTTTTTGGGGCGAAGAATGACAGATCTGCTTTGTAAAATCTCTTTTGGAGTTAAGAAGAGTTGTGGTATGGAAAAGCTTAGGATTATGAAGCTGAAGGGGTTTAGGTGTACTTTTTAGGTAGAGAAGCGTCCCAGGCTTACTTTTGAGAAGTTTTGGCTCGCGTTTTCGTCGAGGATTCCGATATTTTTAAGGTGTTCTGTCAAGCTATTTGTAAATTCCATTACGAAAATATTTAAAATTATTCAAAATATAACCGCCTCTATGGGGTTTTGGGGTTTTGGGGTTTTGGGGTTTTGGGG